AGTGGCTAGGGTTCTGAGCTTCCAATACAGGGGGCCTGGGTTCAATCCTTGGTCTGGGAACTAGAACCTGCATGCAACAACTAAGATCTGTCACAGCCAAATAAATTAAAAAAAAAAGAGAGTGTAACACATTTCCTTTAAATTCTTCTCATTAAGATCTGACAGCACAGAAATTATTTCATTATTGGAATTAATCAAGAATATGTGCACTCAAGAGTCTATTGTTTATGATCCTTAATTGCTACTTCTTGAAATACAAGTATCAATAAAGGTTCTCCAAGAGACTTCTTTATGCCTACACCAATGGGTTCTCTTTAGCATGAGGGGATTATTTTGCCCACAGCGGGACATCTGACCATGTCCAGAGGTATTTTTGGTTGCTGCACTCGGGAGGGGGGTTGCTGCTGCATCCTGAGGGTAAAGTCCAGGGCTGATGCTGAACATCCTGTAACATACAGGACAGTCCTCACAGCAGAGACCCCTCAGGTCCCAAAGTTGGTAGTGCCAAGAACAAGAAATTCTGGTCTATGCGAATTACAAAATACTCAGTGTCTAAAGTGGCATTTTCTAATTAAATCGGGATTTAACTGGTTTTGGCCCAAGAATTAGCTGAAGTAAACAAAAAAATCTGCTCCAGCACTGATAAAGCCAAATCAGTGATTAAAAATAAAAACAACAAAGCAACTATAAAAAGAATTCTACATCAGCCCAAGTTACTCCCGTAGAAGAACAACAGGCTTTAAGGTTCAGTGAGAAAGTTTATGACTCAGAAAGTCAATCTATTCCCACAAGACTATCCTACAGGTAAAACTGTCAAGTTCTTTGAAAAATCATGTTTCACATGAAAACTATCAGTCACCTTTCCCAACTACAAATTTTTAGCTGCAGACAGTATCCTCTACTGAAAGTAGGAGAATACCTAGAGAAAGTGAGCAAGAAAGATCAAGGCACACATTACTAACTGCAACCTAGGTTTAAACATTGTTACTTAGTCGCTGAGTTGTGTCCAACTCTTTTGAGATCCCATGGACTGCAGCTCAAGAGGCTCCTCTGTCCATGGGATTTTCCAGACAAGAATACTGGAGTGGCTTGCCATTTCCTTCTCCAGGGGATCTTCCTGACCCAGGGATCAAACCCAAGTCTTCCTGCACTGGCAGGATTCTTTACCACTGAGCCAGCAGGGAAATCCCCAGTTCTATAATACTCCTTCTGAATTCAGTATCACGCTTTAATTCTGCCCTTCAAGGAAACTGATTTGCAGAGTCAGACATAAAGAGTTCATCCAAAGGCCCACTGTTCTGCTATAAATCTACCAATGACTCAAAATACCAAAGGTATGTAAAACCTCAAGCACAATGAAAATGCATCTAAATCCCAAGCACATATACTGCTCTTTATTTTTTCAGTTTCTAGACAGATGGAATCTGTGCACTGTTCATTTATCATCTTTCCCCCATATAAACATAACTGACATGATAGAAAAATGACTTACAATTCTGTCTGACCCATAGATCTTCTCCAACTGTTCAGCAACGTCCCTTGTTCCATCTGGGCTTCCATCATCTATGATTATAATTTCATAGTTGAAGCCACTAAAATAAAAAAAAATTAAATTTGTATTGCTTGGAGACAGTAGTCTCAAACGAAAAAACAATTTAAAAGTCACTAACTCCTCCCTAGTATAAGTGGAAATCTATTTCCATGTTAATTACCAAGGAAAACTTCAATTATCAATTGAAATAAATGTCAAATATTCAGTATGTCACTTCCAAACTATGTAAGTGAAAGTGAAAGTCACTCAGTCATGTCCAAGTCTTTGCGACCCTGTGGACTATAGAGTCCATGGAATCTCTAGGCCATAATACTGGAGTGGGTAGCCTTTCCCTTCTCCAGGGGATCTTCCCAACCCAGGGATCAAACCCAGGTCTCCCGCATTGCGCGGATTCTTTACCAGCTGGGGCACAAGGGAAGCCTCCCGGGTGCCCCGGGGCCAGCAAGAGCAACTCTTGCCTATTGCTGGGCCCGACTGCTGGAAATGCTACTATACAGTGCTGAGATGTTAAAATTCTCACATAAAACATATCCTTTCGTTAAAAAAAATTATTGATCATATATTTATATATGATATATTTTACTTATCCACTTGGGAAATTTTATTTCAAAAATACATTTAAAAGGTATCTAGTCAGCTGAGTAGCTCTGGATGATTATTCTATTTAACTTAACCACCAATAGATTTAAATAACATAATCAGGAATCTGATTTTATTACATCCTTAAAAAAACTCCACCTGAGGATGGTGACAGTCTTTGACACCACTATTTCAAATAATTGTACCCATTACCCCACACTATCAAATAAAAAGCACAGAACTACAAAAGATGTCAGTGCTTCTGAATTAAGGTCTTTCTATTGTTCTCATTAACTTCACGTGATAGTTTGCACTCAAAAAACAAGTCAGCATAATACTTGGCTGTACCTGTGCTCACCATCACATCTTCCCCCATCCCCTTGAAAGAAGACATTCTTTTTGTTAACTTCTCCGGAAACTTATGGGGAAAGAGGAGGTACAGATAAACCCTCATAACACGACATTATGTTTCCTCTGCTCCTGCTTTAAGAAACAAATGCAAGGAAAACCACCAGAATACACATTCCACTGTTATAATGCTTAAAAAAAAAAAAAAGTCAGCCGCCAGCACGCTCGGAAGAAAGCAAAACCCGTTTTATCTATTCTCTAACAGCAAAGACAACTTCAGTTCCCCACAGGGCACTAAATCCGGGCATGTGCTTTACAAGTCAAAACAAGTTAAGATGTTGATTCTATTTGTGGTGCTGAGATAATTCATAAACAAATGAAGTCATTCATAAGCAAAATTATTCTCCTCTACACTTCAAAGCACCAAGACCACCTGAGGAAGAGGTAGCTTAAACGAATTGAGCTGAGCGGACTTTAGGTAATTAGACTGCCATCTGAAAAGAAAATAGTTGTTCCCCATTAAACGTCATTCTCCACCCGGAAGTTACTAAAGATAAACTGCACTACATCAAAGAACAGAGCAGAGAAAATATCGCGTCATCAGAAACAAGACAAGGCAAGGCCAGTTATGTGACAATTGCTCTAACTTGGAAAGTTTGAGAAATCAAAATATAACTTAAAAAAAAAGTTAAAAGCCATGAATAAAAACTTTGAAAAGCCATGAATGTGAAGATAATTATAATCAAACAGCAGTGTTTTTCACTAATCAGCATTTCCCACAATGTACGTTTAATACCGCTGGCTGGTTAGTGAGGAAAAAGGTCCCCTCTGATAAACGCTGCCGAGTGCTAAGCTGGTACAATTTTTTTTTTTTTTTTTGACAGCAATTTGGCATTAACTACCAATCTTAGTAGGATTGGGAATCTCGGGATTCCCTAGTGGCTCAGACGGTATAGCGTCGGCCCGCAATGCGGGAGACCCGGGTTTGATTCCCGGGTTGGGAAGATCCCCTGGAGAAGGAAATGGCAACCCACTCCAGTACTCTTACCTAGAAAATTCCATGGATGGAGAACCCTGGTGGGCTACAGTCCATGGGGTCGCAAAGAGTCGGACACGACTGAGCGACTTTACTTTTACTTTTTTATCAATCTTAAGCACATTCCACCGCGAAGAAAGAATGTGTAAGGAGCACTTACTACAAATACGTCGGGGAAAAAAGTCTCCGTCCTCATTTGTAAAACAGAAGTCAAAAGAGGAAAAACAAAAAAGTCTGGAAATAACGCGTACTCGATTGAGAGCACCCGGTTGGAAAAATGAAAGATATATGATATTATCTAATTTTCAAAGCACTGTAATTTGCTAAGTTTGTATGTGCTGATACCTAAAGATCAAAGATTTATACATGATCCCCAAAACAAGGTAATTCGTACTAATACCATAATTTTCTGAAGACAGAAAAAAAAAAAAAGTTTAACATTTTCAAACTCAACACCAACACCTGCCAGTTTTTTTTTTAAACAATCAAACATCCACCTGCAAGTCTGCCCTTCTGCCTTCTCCACAAGGTTTGCCCAGCCCAGAAGCAGCTCCCTAAAACACAGGACCCAAACCTCCCGTTTACAGAAGCCCTCGGCACGGGAGCGGGAGACAGCGGGCTCGCTCAGCGTCCCGGCTCCGGCCACACCGCCCGATCATCTAGATGAGGGAGAAGCGAGGTCAGGTTTTCGGACCCGCGGGCATTAAAAACGGTGGCCAGCCCTTCTAAGAAAAGACGGGCAGACGGCTATCGGAGAGTGTACAATAAAGAAGAGCTTCATAAAACCCAAGGGCGGGACTAAGAATCCGAGACACGAAGAGAAGCGCAGAGGAATCCGCCTCTGCTTTCCTCGGATGGCGACGTCCTCCCCAGGTGCTCCCGAGGGGGCCGAAGAAAGGCCGGGCAACGCCGCCTCGCGCAGCCGCCAACGGCCGACACCCAGGCCCGGAAAGCCAGCTCATCTCATTCCTCGGGGAGGGCGGCCCAGCGCGCTACCTCTCGGAGAAGCTCTTCACCAACAGCCACACGATGAGCGGTAGGTTCTCGCGCTCGTTGTAAGTGGGCAAAAGCACCGAATACTTGTCTTGCCGCGGGGCGCGCCCCTTCGGCTCCCGCCGAGACCTAGGAGAAATACGACTCGCTTCCAAGGCAGCCATGGCGGAACTGCGCGACAGATCGGAAGCGGAAATACGTCACACGGGGCGGAAAGTGACGGGTTGGACAGGACCAAATCCTGAGAAGGGGGGGCTGATCTATGTGGCCGAGTTCTAGTCCTCCTAAGGTTCCTTTCGCGGTTCCTTTGGAAGCAGTCAGAACTTGTGAACATTTAAAACTGAATCTGAGTGTGGCGCAAGAAATGCGGATCTATTTATCACCTTTGCTCAAGCTCCATAAAGTTTTTGTTTTGGTTTACTCCGGCCTCGCGACGAAGAGAAGCCGGAAATGGAAATGCCTTTCACGACGACTTCCGGAAAGAGGCCGGGTATGGCGGCCGGGGAGGAAGTGCTGGCCCTGCAGGCCGAAGTCGCGCAACGTGAGAAGGAGCTGAGTTCCCTGAAGCAGAGGCTGGCGGCGGCCCTTTCGGCGGGGCAGGAGTCAGCGCGCTCGGTTCCGGTGTCGCCCCTGCCTCTCAGGGCCGCCCTGTCCCGAGAGGAGATCCGGCGCTACAGCCGGCAGCTTGTGCTGCCGGAGCTCGGCGTGCAGGGGCAGCTGCGCCTGGCGGCCGCGGCCGTGCTCATCGTGGGCTGCGGGGGGCTCGGCTGCCCGCTGGCGCAGTACCTGGCCGCGGCCGGCGTCGGCCGCCTGGGCCTCGTGGACTACGACGTGGTCGAAGCGAGCAACCTGCCCCGCCAGGTGCTGCACGGGGAGGCCCTGGCCGGCCAGGCCAAGGTCTTCTCGGCGGCCGCCGCCCTGCGCCGCCTTAATTCGGCGGTGGAGTGCGTGCCCTACGCCCAGGCGCTGACGCCGGCTACGGCGCTGGACCTCGTCCGCCGTTATGACGTGGTGGCCGACTGCTCCGACAACGCGCCCACCCGCTACCTGGTGAGCGACGCCTGTGTGCTCGCCGGCCGGCCCCTCGTGTCCGCCAGCGCGCTGCGCTTCGAGGGCCAGCTCACGGTCTACCACTACGGCGAGGGGCCTTGCTATCGCTGCGTGTTCCCCCGGCCACCCCCGGCGGAGACGGTGACCAACTGCGCGGATGGCGGGGTGCTTGGCGCGGTGACCGGGGTCCTGGGCTGCCTGCAGGCGCTGGAAGTGCTGAAGACTGCTGCGGGCCTGGGCCCCTCTTACAGCGGCCGCCTGTTGCTGTTTGACGCTCTCCGAGGCGATTTCCGCTGTATCCGGCTGCGGAGGCGCAGGCCCGACTGTGCCGCCTGCGGGGAGCAGCCCACCGTGACAGACCTGCAGGACTATGAAAGCTTCTGCGGCTCCTCGGCCACGGATAAGTGCCGCTCCCTCCGGTTGCTGAGCCCGGAGGAGCGAATTTCTGTCATGGACTATAAGCGACTTCTGGATTCTGGGTTACCCCACCTGTTGCTGGACGTCAGGCCTCAAGTGGAGGTGGACATCTGTCGTCTGCCTCACGCCCTGCACATCCCTTTGAAACGTTTGGAACGGCGGGATGCGGAGAGCCTGAAAGTCTTGGGAGAAGCCATCCGGGAAGAGAAGCAGGGCGCACAGGAAGGGGCGTCTGTCCCCATTTATGTGATTTGCAAACTGGGCAACGACTCCCAGAAAGCCGTGAAGGTCTTGCAGTCCTGGACAGACTTAGACTCTTTAACAGTTAAGGACGTTGTAGGGGGACTCATGGCCTGGGCTGCCAAAATCGATGGAACGTTCCCGCAGTACTGAGGTGGCTGGTGGAGTCTGACCAGCGAAGGGTGTGGGTTGCCATGTTACCTAAAGTTTTTTGACCTTTATTTATTTGCAGTTGTTTTTTCCAGTATGTATGGAAGAGTCTGGGATTCTACAGTACCTGTGATTAGGTGGACTTCTTTTTATAAGGATCTTTAAAATTGTAATTTATCGAATTATGTCGTTATTAAGGGGTGATAACATTGTTCCTGTGAACTGTCTTGTGCTTGCAGCACTTGCTGTAAGTGGTGTCTTGAACCTGTGAGATACAATGTAAGTGACAGGGCTTTGTGATTTGAATTCAGGTCATTTGCCTGTGCTGCCCCCTCCCTCCCCCCCAAATAAAAAGCTTCTCAGGATGTGAGGGCGATCTGGTTGTAACACCCGTCGCCCCTTTGATCGCCAGGGTTGGTGCGACTGACCTGGCTAGCTAGGCAGGTGTCTCCTTCCTCCTCCACTGCTCCCATCAGCGTTTCTCCCGAAGCTGTGCCCTCACTGAAACCGGACCGCCATCCCTGGTGGAGGAGGACGAGTCTTCAGTAAAGGGCCTGGGAGTAGCTGTGCTTCCCCGATAGACCCTCCCAGCAAGCTCCCAAGTTTACTTGCTGTTTAAATTGTACATTTTAATGCTTGGAAAGGTGTAGTAAACTTAATTGATTACAGATAAAATAGTTAAGCTCACTTTATTGTTTACTAAGGCATTTTTTGGATGTTATTTCTACTTCAAATGCTAAAACAAGTTTTAGAGCAGTGGTCCCCAACCATTTTGGCACCAGGGCCTGATTTCATGGAAGACATGTTTGGGGGAGGGGGGACGGTAATTTCGGTTTCCATCACCCACCTCTCCGCTTTGCAGTCCGGTACCTAACAAGGCACCAACCAGGACTGGGATTCCGGGACCCCTTTAATAGAGAAATCAATATTTAAAATGTAAATTATTTAAACGTTAAAATGCAAATTACCTGGGACGTGGTCATTTTATTGTTTCAAATTAATAGCCAAGTAAGATACTTACAGTCTAGTAAGATAGAGACCATCTTTGTAGTTTGTCAGTTTCTTTTATAAATCACTGATGTTTTTTATATGTTTAGCTTCAGGTTCCACCTCTGTTGTGCAAATAGAAATTTCTAAACTGTGTTGTGTGGCTTGCTCTGAAATCTTAAGGTCCAAGTCCAAACTTTCTGCCCTTCCCTGTCCTTTTTTCCATGTTCAACCTGTTACTTTAATTGTTGGCTTTACTGTGTGGCCAGGATGCCAAATACAATATTAAAGTGAAATAATAAACATTTCTTCTCTCCTTCACAATTTCAGGTGAAAAACTTTGACCAATATTACCTGTTGTTGCTTTACTGTAAGTAAATAACCTCTCTCAGATTAAATTTCTATTTATAGTTTGCTAAGAGTTTTCATTGAATTCATCAAATGCTTTTTCTGCATTCTTAGGTGATTTTTTTCTTCTGTTAACATTGTGAATTCCTTTTTTTTTTTTAATTGTGGCAAACAAACACATAAATTTCACCCTCCTGACAGTCTCCATGTGTACAAACAGTATTGTCAGCTACATGCATGTGCTGGCACCAGATTCCAGAAGCCCCCATCCTGCATGACTGAGACTACACCTACAGAGCGCCTCCCCATCACTCCCCTTTAATTTACCTTTTCTATTTTTTAATCTATTCTAGCATTTTATGTTTGTTTTCTTATGCAACAGCATTTTCATGAAATGGCAGGTAGCCTGCCCAACTTCCAACATACACAACAAAATTAAAAGTGAACATGTGGCATATGAGTATATATTAGAGGCAATCCACATATCCAAAGGGAGCCTCTCCTCCAGCTGATTGACGTACGCAAGCTTATAACTGTCAGAAATCACAGATAAAAATGTAAAATGTTTGCATCTCTGAGTACAGTTTTTAAAGTTTCAAGGCATTGTGGGCCAGGATTTCCCTGGTGGTCCGGTGGTTAAAAAGCTGCCTGCCAATGCAGGGGACACAAGTTCGATCCCTGGTCTGGGAAGATTCCATGTGCTTTGGGGCAGCTAAGCTTAGGCATCACATCTACAGAGTCGGTGCTCCCTAGAGCGCATGCTCCACAAGAGAAGCCACCAGAATGAGGTGCTCTGGCACAGCCAAAAATAGATAACTAGTTGTAAAAAAGATCTTGCAGCCCAAGGGACTCTCAAGGGTCTCCTCCAACACCACAGTTCAAAAGCATCAATTCTTCAGCGCTCAGCTTTCTTTATAGTCCAACTCTGACATCCATACATGACTACTGGAAAAACCATAGCTTTGAGTAGATGGCAAAGTAATGTCTGCTTTTTAATATGCTGTCTAGATTTATCATAGCTTTTCTTCCAAGAAGCAAGCATCTTTGTTTAATGGCTGCAGTTACCATCTGCAATGATTTTGGAGCCCAAGAAAATGTCTGTCGCTGTTGCCATTATTTCCCCATCTATTTGCCATGAAGTGATGGGACTGGATGCCATGATCTTAAGTTTTTTGAATGTTGAGTTTTAAGCCAGCTTTTTCACTCTCCTCTTTCACTTTCAAGAGGCTCTTTAGTTCCTCTTCGCTTTCGGCCTTGAGGGTAGTGTCATCTGCATATCTGAGGTTATTGATATTTCTCTGGGCAATTTTAATTCCAGCTTGTGCTTCATCCAACCTGGCATTTCTCATGATGTACTCTGCATATAACTTAAATAAGCAGGGTGACAGTATACAAGCTTGACGTACCTCTTTCCCAACTTGGAACCAGTCTGTTGTCCATGTCTGGTTCTAACTGTTGCTTCTTGACCTGCATGCGGTTTCTCAGGAGGCAGGTGAGATGATCTGGTATTCCCATCTCTTTAAGAATTTTCCACTGTTTGCTGTGCTCCACACAGTCAAAGGCTTTGGCGTAGTCAATAAAGCAGAAGATGTTTTTCTCAACCACAGCTCGGGGGCCAGAACACAAAGTTGGCTTTACATTGCTGTTCCCAGGTGGTGCTGGTGATAACCCGCCCGCCAATTCAGGAGAGATGAGAGACATGGACGAGATGAGGACGGCAGGCTGAGACGGTTGGGTGGCGTCACCGACTCAATGGACATGAGTTTGGGTAAACTCCAGGAGCTGGTGATGGACAGGGAGGCCTGGCGTGCTGCAGTCCATGGGGTTGCAAAGAGTCAGACACAACTAAGCGACTGAACTGAACTGAACTGAAGAGGCGTGGATTCGATCCCTGGGTAGGAAGAGCCCCTGGAGGAGGGCATGGCGATCCATTCCAGTATTCTGCCTGGAGAATCCCATGGACAGAAGAGGTCTACAGTCCATAGGGTTGCAAAGAGACGCAACGAAAGCGACTTGGCCCTGGCACTGGCTCTGTTCTGAGTCAGTCCTTTGAGGGTGTGTCTGGTGAGCAGAGCCTGCTCACATGCCTTTATCCTAGTCACAAGAGCCACTGGGATTTTGAATTCTGACGTCTACAGTAGGGAGGCAGAACTCTTAACCCAGGTTTTTTTTCAAATTAGGGAAAGGTTTTTCAGTAGATAGGCTGTTGAGAATATGACAGGTGTCCACCCATGCCATTACAGGACTCAGATCTTTTTATTCTTTGAAACTCACTTTTCTCTTGTAGCTAGGTTTTTACAGTCAGATGGGATTTGAACTAGATAACTTTTTCCCTTTTCATTTAACATCAAGTGTACCAGTACTATTCTGAGCTCTGCGGTAAGGATGAACAAGAGGGAATTGCCTGCCAGTTCAGACGCTAGGACTCAGAACTTTTACTGCCAGGGCCTGGATTCGATCCCTGGTTGGAGAACAAAGACATAAAAAAAAAAAAAACCCAAAGACCGAGAGATTTCCTATTGGTATGGAGCTTATATTTAAATGGGGGCGGGGAGAGACTAGTCAACAAGTAGCAGGAGGTAACCCTGTCCAGGTCAGTGATAAGTGTCATAAAAGAAATGAAACGGTGATGTTTTAGGTTGGGGAAAAAGGAGCTATTTTGAATAGATTCAGAGAGGGGTTGATATGAAACCCAAAAGCTGAGTGGTGAGAAGCCGATTAGACCTGGTGGAATAGCTCATACCAGAAGAAAAACAAGTGGGAAGACCCTGAGGCGAATACACTTGTAATGTTGGAGAAACTGAAGAAGCAAATGGGTTGTGAACAGCTCAGGAGAAGTTTAGGGAGACGGGGAACATCTGTAGGTTGTGGACCATAATGCTGCTGCTGCTGCTGGACCATAATAGAAGGTTTTTATTCAAAGTAAAATAACAACTAACATTTGCTGAGCGCTTACTGGTGACTTGGGATTTGAACCCAGATGGTCTGAGCAGAGATCCTGTGCCCTAAGCAGTATGCTGTGCTCCGCTGTGTAATTGCGTATGTTTTCACTTTTGAAAAGCAATCTGTGCCTGGATCATCAGGGAAGGGAAAAAGCTTGTGTTTCAGATGCAGCAGGATCGTACTCGGCTGCACTTGGTCTGCAGACCTCTCTCTGGGGAAGGAACATCAGAGCGAAATCCCTGGGAACCAGCTGATATTGATGTGTCACCTACGCGGTGTCCACAATTGCAGTGCATCCTTTGGTATGAAGGAACCACTTAGGTCGGGGAGAAAGAAGTACACTCTCAACGTGGAAGTCACAGCTGGTAAATGGAACGGTTTCCAAGGAGAGGGGCCAAAACAGGGCAGTAAGAACCCCGAGAGAGTTCCCACTGAAGAGGAGGTGTTTTGTTTTTTAAGCCTGTTTGTTTTTAATTAGCTGCTCCCTCCCACACCTGCAAGAGGGTCCCCTCAGAGCCTGGAGTTAGGTATGTGGCCCAGTTTGCTCAGGAGAAGATTTTTTTACTTTCACAGATTGTATTTTCCCAGGGTTCCATATATAACATGAGGTAACCCTGTCCAGGTAAGAGTAAAATCTCATCACTTGAAATTATGCACCTGCCTTGGGGTTCAGATAATTTTGCAGTCAGTTGGGAATATTAGGAAAACTACTATGGTGCAGGAGTGGGAAAGTAATTTGCAAATAAAAATGGTAAAGGGGGTTAATTATACCTTTGATGAAGTATAGTTTCCAGAGCTCACTCAGGATGTGGGAGAAAGCTAACTAAACCATTCCAGAATTTGGCTGATAAGTAGTAAGTATACAGTTTACCATAATTTACTATGAAACCGACTCATTGGAAAAGACCTCGATCCTGGAAAAGATTGAAGGCCAAAGAATGGGGTGGCAGAAGATGAGATGGTTAGATAACATCACTGACTAACGGACATGAATTTGAGCAAATTCTGGGAGATAGTGAAGGACAGGGGAGCCTGGCGTGCTGCAGTCCGTGGGGTCGCAGGGAGTCGGGCACAACTTAGCGACTGAACACCACCACCACCGCCAACTATGAGGTCCTACATATTGACACTGATTCTTGTTTCTAACCTTTGGTCCAATTATTCAGAATTGAGAAAAAAATTTGACTTATTCAGGTGTTTTGTTCCTGACACTTAATGCCAATTGTTGGATAGCTTGCTGAAGATAAAGAAAAGGCTTATATATATATATATATATATATTTAAGGCTTATATCTTAAAATTTCCCTTCTTGGTGGCACGTTGGTTAAGAAGGTGCCAGAGTAGGGTGACATTGCGGGAAGATGTTTGGGGCATTATTTTTAACTAGCAGTATTTCCCTTACTCAGTGCTTCCTGATTAGGGAGCCGTGAAACCAATTGGAATTTAACAGACCAAAGTTCAGGTGAGTTGAAATAGTTGACTCTCAAGTAGAAGAAATCTCCCAAGCAAGCCTTGCTTGTTCAGTAAGAGCCAAGGGAAGCAGTGCTTTCAAAACCTCGACTTAGTCATCTGGGGTAAACTCAGTTGTCTACCCAAAAGCCTCCCCACTCCCACTTTCTTGCTGGCACTGCTGAAAATGTCAGGCTCCTTTCCCAGCCTCCCCTGTGATTTTGGAAGAACCTGCACTTCTAAACAATTTTTTCCATCAAATACAGTTTTCTGTCTCCAGTGCTGCCACCCCAATCGAGCCATCTTTCCATCAAATGTATCACTTTTTAGGAACGCACACCACCAATCATGGATTACCAAAGAACCAAGTATTGGTCTTAGGTCTCAAGATAACAGAAGAGGTCCCTGTGGGCAGCAGGGACTATCAGCCTTATATATGTCTTTTTGGCAGTCTTGAGACCTATGAAGGAAAACAGGACTTTTTAAACATTTACTTATTTTCATTAGAGGCTAATTACTTCACAATACTGTGGGGGCTTTTGCCACACGTCGACATGAATCAGCCACGGGGCCTCATGTGTCCCCCTGTCCCGAACCCCCTCCCACCTGCCTCCTCACCCCATCCCTCTGGGTTGTCCCAGAGCGCTGGCTTTGGATGCCCTGCTTCG